TAAAAATATATTAATGTTAATATTAACAAAACATATTTATTATCATCATTATTTTTAATATAGACATTCCATAGTATTTTACAAAATATTCAATATCTTATTTGTATTAAGTTGCTCTTCACGGAAACAAAAAAACACACTCTATGTATCATAAAATTAGTCCATTAATGAAGGAAGAATCAATAATTTTCATGATATCTGAAAGAACATTATTTATTTAAACAATTTATTGGCACATTTTATTAAGTAGTAATTAATGCTATTTAAGTAGATAGATTGAATTTATCCATTTTAACTAAAATCATAATAAAATATGAACACCGGTAATATTTAACATATTAAGATGTTTTAAAGTATTGATAGAATATACTATAATATGTAAAGTAGTAATTTTCAGAGTTTATACAACATATTCATTTGTATAAATTTTATATTGAAATTAGAATTAAATGTATAGCAATGAACAAAATTAATTACAATCAATGCAATTCATTCACATATATAAACATTCATATAAAATTATGAAAGATCAAACTATAGAAACATAATAACAGATAGGATTTATAAAAGTTGATCTATTTAAGCTGCAAGAATTCATGATATGAAAAAAGGTAGAAATAAATGTTCCTTTCATCATTCTTTTATTTTCGGTTCTTTACAACTTCATTTTTATACATACTGAGCTTAATCATGAATAAATTTGTGACTATTTTTTTCTTGAAATTAGCGAACTAAAATAACCAAGAAATTTATTTTCAGTCTTCAAGGGGATGTTAGTGATTTTGTTGAAAATATCAACGATCTGCATATTATGCATTGAAGTCGATTAATAAAGTGTATTCAATATTTCTAAATACTTTAAAAGAGCAACAATATAATCTTTTACTAGGTTACAGTACAAAAACTAAATTGCTCTTACCTTCTCATAAAGAGTTCATCAACTTTGCTCTTATGTTACTTGTAAAAGAATCGTTAGTGAGTAGAAAAATGTACACACAAAAATCAAACGTCTACAAAAGTTTACGGTTAAGTGTTCAATGATTTTTAATAATTATGTTATTTCTGACCTCAGATGAATATACTTTTGATCAATTGCTAAATAAATGAAATGGGTAACAAAAATGATAATGATACATTTTGTGTATTTGAAATAATATGACGAAACAGTATTAATTCCAGTAAGTCTATAATTTCAACAAGACACAATCAAGAAGTCAAATTCGATGTACGCGTACCAAATTGTATGGTGTAGTTACGATAGGTTCAAACACAAAAGAAACATTTAGCTTCACAATAAATATATTGGTGATTTATCACACCTTCCTTTACACAAATTGAGTTATAAGAACTTTGTTAATGAAACATATTCATAACATAGCATTATTATTATTAGTGACTTTATTCAACAGTATATTTTGGTAAAATATAGAATTCGCAGCATAGAGAAGTAACGAAAAAGGTGAAAGAAACCCGTAGCTGTATACATACATAAGTTGAAAAGATAAACTACCTGTAAAGCAATGAAATGTTTTTCAAGAAGATTTGAACCTGTACAACATTTTCAATTAGAAACATGTTTAGGAATACAAGCTATTGACTAAGTCAACTCTAACAACCTGTCCGTCACATAATATATTTGCTAGACATGATATTGTAGAGCTTGTATATTTTTGTTTGCGTGAATGTATTCCAATGTATTGACGTCTCGTTCTACCAGACGATTCACAAGGAGACAGATATGAGTGAAGTAGATGGTTGATATCTGATAGGATAACACCTCTCATGACTTTATGAGACTTAAAATGTCTATCCACAACAATAATAATAATGACCTCAAAAGATTCACCACATACCCTGCTAATGGTGTTCAGCACTCCTGACAATACGGCAAACTTTTCTGCAAATCCGAGAAAAGAAAAATGGAGAACAGTGAAGAAAATTAGGTAGTACGCAAGAATCGACAAATTGTAAGAGTAAATGTCATGAAGTCCTAAAAGCATGGAGCATCATTATGTAGTATGTCAAACGGAAAACTTTCTGTAATAATAATAAAATATTTATGATGAAACACGACAAACGTTCTTAGAAATTCTCAAAGAACCTAACAAATCAATTGGTGAATTTCAAATGACTGAATCATATGTTGCATAAACTTGGTTTATAATTGATACTATGACTGAAAAACAGTAATCTAGTTCTAGTATGTCACTTGTAAAAATTCTGTTGAAATCTTGCTCAATTATTAAATATGAATGTTTACTTTCTATTTAATAAAACATTATACACAAAGATAGAGAAATATACCAGAGCTTAATTCTTATGATGTTAGAGTACCTTAACATTAAAATATGTAAAAACGCATCAATTTTGGCGAGGGTTTAAAGCTATATAACACATGTTGCCTCTCAAATATATAGACAAGATATTAGTTCTGTGCAACATGAAAAATAATTTATTAGTCACAGATTAGTGACCTAAAATTGTATTTGTTTAGTTTTTTTTAATGTTGACCGATTTCTGTTGACCAAATTACAAAATGTTCACTAGTTTAAATAATTCGGTATGGCAAATACTATGCTGAGATGCTAAGTGATGGTACTTTCGTGCTCAAAAGGTAAATACAGACAATTTTTTAGTTACTAAGTAACTGCACTTTCATGTATTTTTAATTGGGTGATACTTTATTGTATTTCCCTAGTTAATTCATTCATACGATTTGGTTTTCACTTAACACTTCTCAGCTTGATGAAATAGCCTATTATACTAGGAGTGTTGCAATACTTTCATTGTACTTAATGATCAATAACAAGCAAAATACCTGCTAAACCTTTACAACTACGCTCATAATAACATCCGATTGCCATGGAACGTGAAAAGGATGGCAAGTTCCATTTTTTCGATATTGCCATACAACGGAGGGAGGACGGTATAGTTCAGCGTTCAGTTTATCGAAAAGATGATGTTTATTTGAGTTTTAACACCTTATGTACGATCAGTTACAAAACTGCATTGATCAAAACACTATTTCACAGAATGGAAAGGATATGTACTACTGATACACTAGAAGCAGAATTAAAGAGTGTGAAAGAATGCCCAAAGGATCATAATATGTCCAAAGGAATTTACAGAGAAATATGGGAAAAGTAGGGACAAAACGCCTTAAGAAGCCATAGTAGACAAGAAACCTGTTTTCTTTCAACTTAAAGATGATGATGTTGCAGCAACAATAAACAGAATATTAAAAGCACACTGATAAGGACTTATCCCTCAGTCAAGCTGACTGTCTTGTATAAAACAATATATTCTTGGCTTCAGTTGCAGATGTATTGATACCTCTTACATGTTACCGTCAATTGTGTATATAAATTAACGTGTACCTGCCAGATGAGTCACACTTGTAGAACAGTAAGAAGGGCCTACGTTCGATTCCAAAGACATATGCCAAAAAAGTCTCAGGCTAATGGGATTTAAGGCTTCTACCACTGTCATTAAAAACATCTATATGACTCAGGACATCAAGTTGATAGACTAAAGTCTTTCAGCATCACCAATCAACAGTCAAATGCTTTTCTCAAATTTATCATAGCCATAACCATTTAACGACTGAAGCCGGACTAATGTATTCAAAAGAACACAGTTGAGAATCCACCCTAACCATGGTGATTTTTTCGTCATTTTACTACATCATGTTTTGCACTTTTCTTATCTCCCCTGTTTGAATTACATCACTTATTTCGAAGTCATAATCTTGTCATTTATTTTTTAACTGACTGATCTTTACTCATGTTATGCGCACTGCTGGTGAGTCCCATACTAGAACTAAATCGCCGTCCTGTGCTTCCAGGTTTCCCATGATAGTCTAGCTTCAATTGACTTATGATCTCAACCATTGAGATAACATTTTATTTTATTATCCTTCATCGCCTTTCAAATGTATCATATGTTCACAATTACTGAATTCGAACTGTAGGTTATAATTTAACTATTTTATCCACTATTTAGTATTAATTTCATTGGCTAAATTTTCTAACTATTACTTGTCACGGATTGAAGATGTTATTGATTTTGATAAGTATCCATAATTTAGTGTGAATTCATTTGATTCAATAAATTTTGTTGATCCATTTTTGTTCAGACGAAAAGAGAATGATCAAAATGGAGATTTATGGAGTTATAGCAATTTTAATAGTTGAATTCATGAGTCCATATTAAGCTAGAACGCCAGTGGAAACTTGGAAGCACTGAACGGTCGTTTCATACTAGCGTTGGACTCTTCCTCAAATCCTCATTCTGATAATAATCATGTGCTCACTAGTGACCAGATTCAGTATGGATTTCCTTAAGTTCTAGTAAATAACCGTAACCAGTGGAGTCTAGTCAGTGTTGGATGGATACAGTTATCCACCTCAGATAATGGATGAAGTGTTACTCGAGATCATGGATCGATCGAAGTTAGACATTAACATCGTTGGATACCGATCCAGCGGTTTGGGGATTAAGCGCTTGAGTGCGAGATCGAAGGTTCCGGTTTCCGGTTCCACATGAGGGATAGTGAATGTACACTACTAAGGCATTCCATACTAGGACGAAATGGCTATCCAGTGCTTTCAGATTTTTAATGGTGGTCTAGCTTAAATCGACTCATGAATTTAACTAATAAAAAAAAGGATTACAATATTCAGTTAGATGGCTTGGATGGATATTTAACATCTACGCAGTATAGAAATGTGTACAACATTTTATGGACTCTTAAACAAAATCTATCTGTTTTCCAATTAAAAAACAATTGATACTAGGTTTCGTAATTGATTGTTCCATGAAATCAAAACATAAAGAAATTTCTCATTTAATATAATTTTTTTTATAAATCTGAATGTAAATGGTACAAATGATGGAAAAATAAAGTTTCAAACTATTTATTAATGAAAACAAATTCAGGAAATATTTATAATTACAGTTTAAAGTAAAAGAAATATTTATTGTTATATGGAATATTTCTTTTAAAGGCGTGTTTGCACAGTATTACTTGAGTAAAATACATTCATTTCTTCTACATCAATTTCATCACCTTGAAAATCATCTTTATTAACATAAGTAGATGGATTGTATGGATCACAACCATGAGATCTTTTTAGAGCTCCACTCAATAAGTTTGTTCGATATAGAATCCAATTTAATATCAATAGACCAATCAGTAAAATTAACCACTTGAAAAAGTAAAATTAAAAAAAAGGTACTTGACAAGTGTAAAATTTATTTTAATAGTTGAGATTTTGAGTCACTTGAAGCTAGATCAACACGAGAAAGCTGGAAGCACTGGACGCTCGTTTCATTCTATTATGGGGATTCTCAGCAGTGTGCATCCACAATCCGCCTCACGAGATTCGAACCCAGGACCTATTGGTCTCGCGAGCGAACGCTTATCCACTAAACTACTGAGCTGGCATCCAATGGTGTTAATTTCTAACTTCAACTAATCCACGAAATTGAGTGACACATCAATAATAGGACGAAATGACCGCCCAGTGCTTCCAGGTTTTTCATGATGGTCTAGCTTCAATTGATTTATGATTTCAACTATCGAATTTATTAAAATATCCATAAAAAATCCCTTCTGAAAAATTTATTGACAATTTGTTTTTCTTTCATTTTGAAGGAAAGCATGTTTTATAGAGATTTTATGTTATTTGTAAATACATTTCTAGTTAAAAGTAGAAAGCACTGAATAACCAATAGGTAGTTATTAAATGCATTAAAACTGCCGTAGATTTGAGGGATTTAAAATATGATGTGAAAAGATGATTTATTACCATAAAGAATGAAATAGCATAACCATAAACGTTCTTAAGTTGTATTATTTAGAATTATTTACTTCATAAAAAGCCGAAAATATATGTTAGCTGACTTTTGAATGAGCTAAACGTGGTTGAATTTGTAACAGTATACAAGAATTGAAATCATTCATAAAATATTTTCGTCAGTTTAACCATCCAATAGAAATAATTTAGTAATATGAAACTAAAACCGAACAACTGATGTACATTGTCTACCAAGATCATGTCGTGAGACTATAATTTATGGACGACATTTGAGCGAAGCTAAAGTGACCTTGAGAGTGTTCAATTAATAACTAGGATCAAATGAGGGTTATAAATAAGTGTGAGAAATGAGAATTATGATTTACAGCTGATGGTAAGGGTTAGGAATTAGATTTAGGGTTTTCATCACGAACTGATATCGGTTATAATGCCAAACCTCTATTCAGCCATATGGATGAATTAATTTCGCGCCAAAATCCGAGACCTGTTATTTTATATCTGATTGGTTCGTTCACAAGTTATAGTCTCGCCGATAATGTAAACCTTACACAATTCGACACGAAATGTGGTAATATATGAACGTCCACTATAAAGTATTACTTAATTAAGTATTAATAAATCCATCATACTTACTACTCCTGTTACTCCTAGTAGAGGAGCATAGGCTGCCCACCAGCACTCACCATCCAACCCTCTCCTAACCAGTTCTTTACAACTCTTCCCAGTTGTCATTCATCCTATTCATATCCGCTTCTATTTCCGACGTAATGTGTTCCTTCTTCTTCTTTTCCACTCCCCTTCAGAATTTCTAGTTAGGGCTTGCCTCGTGATGCAGTTTGGTGATTTGCGTAACGTATGTCCTATCCATTTCCAACGTTTTTTCCTAATTTCTTCTTCAGCTGGAAGTTGGTTTGTTCTCTCTCACAGAAGGCTATTGCTGATGGTATCCGGCCAATGGATGTTGAGTATCTTGCGTAGACAGCTATATATAAATACTTGCACCTTCTTGATGATGGTTGTTGTAGTCCTCCAAGTTTCAGCTCCGTACAGTAGAACTATCTTGACGTTCGTATTGAAGATTGTGACTTTGATATTGGTTGATGGTTGTTCTGAGTTCCATATGTTTTTCGAATATAGGAATGCTATCCTTGTTTTGCCAATCCTCGCCTTTACGTCTGCATCCTATCCTTCTTGTTCATCGTTGATGCTGTCGAAGTACGCGAAGGATTCCAGATCTTCTGGAGTTTCGCCATCGAGCGTGATTGGGTTGGCATTTTTCACGATACTACTATTAATAAATCAATGATTTTAATTGAGTTTTTGATTAGCGAACAGTTTTATCGGATACAAACAGTAGGCCATTTATTTTAGAGAGTTTAATTTGTCTGGAATGGTTTATTTTGTTGTAAATTGCTTACTGATTACTTCTTCAACATATATTTTTCATACAGTTATATTATTCAAATCCATTATAAAATGATTATAAGAAAGAAATTGTAGCCTACTTCTAATAATGTTGTCGATAAAGTATCCCAAGTTAAAATATACCAAGTTGGATCTGTTGTGACAGATTCATATATCCACCATATAATTAATATGATTGATTGTAAAGGCACTAAAACTCTGAAAAATGATCAGTTTGGGAAACAAATTTAAAATAAATATTTTTTAAAAAATGTAACAATAAAAACAGAATAATGTGAAACTATTTTCTTAAAATCGGATAATGATGTGATTATAAATTGCTATAAAGACAATGATTTCATAAGTAATTTGAAAGAACATTCAAGTATGGTATATGCTACTCATGTTTGCAGATATAAGTAGTACGTAATAACAAGTGGAATGTCTGAGACCAGAAGGCTAAAATGATTGAAATCAAAAGAAAAGAGAAGGAAACTGAAAGCAATCAAGATAACAACAGGAATGAAGAATGAATGAAACTTATAAAAAACACTTCAAATAAGATATACAAATGATATATTTGATGTATGATTTTCACAATTTACTAAACAATGATGAATTTCGATTTGATTAACAAAATAAAATATTTATATTCTTTAATAAGTGCTATTTCATCGTCCCTTCGCTTTTTATCAATACACTTTAATTTGATAATAACCATATGAGTAAAAATATTTGTTGTTGAGGAATTATCACCGTTTCCTTAGAACCTATGTAGAAGTCATAGTTTTTATTACCGAAAGAATAATTTTCAACGACATTGTGATTACCTTGTAAGGTCTTGTTGAAAGATACTTCTAAAAAACTTGTAGAATGTCCTTTCACATATGGTATATATTTTAAATATTATAGGTTGTAAGCAGCTGATGAGAACCAAACGAAATAAAATGAATTCCTGCTATTCTGCTAGAATCATTGTTCTTGTTCTTTTCAAAATAATAAAGGGAACTTTGTGTATGAAATAAACAATTTATATCATTTTGTTTTCTTTAAGGGACCTATATTTATTGTCATATCCTTTTATCATCCCATATGTTTTAATTTCTTAATGTCATTTGAAATACAGATTTTCGTGCAATTGAATTAAACCTACTTGTCATATAACTAAATATTTTTTTATAATTTCAACATGAAGTGACTGTATTTTCAGACTGGTATTTATTTTAGCACTAATCAATTAGAATGCTTAGATTGATTAAACAAATTAAGATAGAACTCACGCAATTACTGGAATCCAAATAACACTCAAGTTACAATCATTTATTCCATAGTCATTTATTAGGACACGTCTGTATCGATTCGGTCCGTAAACAATAACAACTAGACAGAATAAAAATCCAGATACTATAAGACCATAGCCCCATGTATTATCCTAAAAACAATTAACAAAATAATGAAATAAACGATCATATATCATAATTATGTTGAAATGTTTTTTTTTAAAACTTGAATCAATAAACTCACTTACTTGATTTGTAAGAAACTCCAGTTTAATTGCAGATGGAAGACCAATAATCATTGAAGCTAATAAAGCAATTCCAACTGCTAGTCGATGTGGTACTGTTAATGAAAGTAATATTATCAAACATGAAATTTAAAATTTAAGTAAATGTATAATTTGTGTATATGAAGATTACTAAAACCTTTGGATAATCTGATAGTTTAGTATTAATTAGTTATTAAATTAATTTAGTCATGATAGCAACTATCCAATCCAATCTATACATTTCAGGTTTACTAATTAAACTTCGAAACGTCACATCATCAAGATATTGAAAGTTTTCTAAATAAATGAAATTTTTGCTGACTGCCGTCTAATCATTAAAATTTTCTGGAGTAGGATTATGTATAAGTAATGTTATATGTATTAACAATCATTAACTGGTTTTTTTGGTTGGGAATGGTATATGAATTGTTTATATCCACTCCAATTACCTAATGAGTGTGCTAGTTAACAAGATTACGTCATTTAAGATAAATTATGAATATACAAAATATAGTTGAAGAACTATAGTCTAGAATTCAATCGAAAATTACCTAGAATTTATAACTCAGAAGACAACATTTAAGCTTTATTCGAAGCTTACGGGTGAATTAAAATGTTGGGTTTTTTCTACCCGACCGTTTGATTGTATTGGCTTAAAATCTAAGCTTGAGAGTTCATTATACTTTTTATGAATGGAATTTAAGTAAGATATCGGCTTAGTGATAAATAGTATTTAATGATGGAGATTATAGTCATATTGTCATTAAAGAAATCACTAGTATAGGGGTTGTAGAGATTATTAAGTTTTTGATTGAGATCATGAACAATTCACCTCAAAATCACTCATTTACATAGTTTGATTCTACACGCAAATACATGTTTGTTATTCAACATATAGAAGCTTCATAGTAATTGTCAAAATTTGAATGAAATTTACCATAAATGTGTGTTATTAACTAAAATGACCAATTCATATTTCTAAGATATATCAGTTGTAAGTAATATAGTAATTTAATTAATTTTAGACTAGGCTTTCTTTATGATTAGTTAAATTATTGTGAATTTGTTGATTAAAACACATGAGTTTTTTAATAGTTCAGTAAATTAAATTAAAACTCTATGTGTATTGTATATAGATGAAGAAACGCTATAAATAGACTTAAATAGTTTTATCACAGGGGGTTTAGTAGACATTATAGTAATTTAATAGTTGAATTCATGAGTCAATTGAAGCTAGACCACTTTAGAAAACCTGAAAGCACTGGATGGCCGTTACGTCCAAATATGGAACTCCTCAGCAGTGCGCATCACGATCCTGCCCTGCGAGATCCGAACCCAGAACCTATCGGCCTCGCGCCTGAACACTTAACATCTAAACCACTGAGTCTGCATCCAACGATGTTAAGACTTAATTTCAACCAGTCCACGAAATTGAGTCGCCGTCCACCATTGTCTTCAGTGGTCTAAGGGGCTGATCGTTCGCTCGCAAGACGAAGATGCTGGGTTCAAATCTCACGAGCAGGATCGTGGATATGCACTGTTGAGGAGTCTCATACTAGACCGAAAAGGCTGTCCAGCGCTTTCTGGTTTTGCATAGCAGTGTAGCTTCAATTGCTTCATGAATGCAAGTTTAAATAATTTTGTCAAAATATTCATTTCAATTTAAAAAAAGAAGATAGTTCGTCACAATTATGAGAAAATATTTAAAATAGATAAAAAAAAGAAAGTTGGAAGATCATTTTAAATTACAGAAACTATCTTTAACTTAGATGTTGCATAAGTTATTTATTTATTTTCCTATTAACACTACTTAATTACTTACTTACACCTATTACCCTTTGTGAAGGAGCATCGGTCACTCACTAACACTCTATTAACACTACATATTCTTAAAAAAATATATTATAACCAGAAGAAATGTCAGTTTGTCAGGTGATTTTATAGAAACATTCTTTTATATAAAAATAGTTATATACTTAAATATTTACAATGTTTTGTTGAAATTCTTATGTAAACATAAAACATTCAATGTTGTTTTATTATAGAAAGGTTATCATTTAATCAATTGCTTTAAACCAATATGTTATACAATAAGATCAAAACTAATAATAAAGTTATTACATTTAGTATGTTTTTATTTATTTATTCTGTTTTAAAAATTAATTTATATTTTGTCTTAAATGAATAACTTACCATTAAAATCTTTCATAGCAAGAACATGTACTTGAGTTAATGATAATAATGAACTAATTCCAGCAAATACAAGACATAAAAAGAATAAGGCACATAAAACTCGACCAAATATACCAACTTTTGAAAATAGTACAGGTATCCTGAAATGAGAAAAAAAATATTAGAGATTTATTTAATTGTTTACATTTAATAAGGATATGTGCTATGATATTGTTTTAAAGAATGATGGTCTAAGGTTAATATATATATATATATATATATATATATATATATATGATAATGTCAATGTTATTTATTTTCAATAAATTGATCTAAGTTGTTCTATATTTTCTATTCTAAGTACTGAAGTATTCTTTATCACTAACGTAATGAAAAAGTAAATTATTCGACAGTTTATTTAGTTAGAAAATAATGTCACTTTATGTAATTCATTACCATTTGGTTCATTTCATTTCAGTTATTTCATATTTTTTATACTTAAACACGATGTGGGAGTTACATTTTTCACTTACATTAAAATGATAATTAAGAGATAATGTAAATCATAAATGTAAAGAAAATCTAATATGAGTATATCTTTATAAAAGTATTCCACGCATTAAATTCACTTCGTGTTGTTTTAACTGTATCTTCCTGTTGTTATTGAGGACTGCAATTAATCATCAGAAGGCTATTAAGACTCAGTAGTTGGGTGGATAACGTGATGATGTTTGAAGCGAACGGTATTGGGTTCGAGTCTCGGAGTGTACATCAACTCTAAGATGCAGGTACATCCAGCTGATGAGTCCTAAACAGACGAAACGCGAGTCCTGGATTTCACTGCCAGCCACTATCAATCTTTATTTCACGTATTATTTTGTAACTAGAGAACTTTTATATAATTTGAGTTCGAAATTTTAAGCACCATGTATAAATAATTTACTTCGGCTAACTGTTGAGATTTAGAACACGTCAGCATGAGTCAGTAAGTAAAATGTGGATTTATTAACAAACCTACACACTACTGAGGAGTCTTATACTAAGATAAAACGGCTGTCCAGTGTTTCCAGGTTTTCATGGTGATCTAATCTGAATTGACTAACGAATTCAACTATAAAATCTGTATTTCTTACCAATTTTTTTACGTATTGTTTATATACTCATTTTCACTTCTCTCTTTTTACAATACTGTCATTTCAACTTGTGATTTATATTTTTCTGGTACCTTGATGTACCGACACTTTTATATGTTATGAAAACGTATATAATTTTAAACTTATTAACATGCAAACTGCAGTTGTCTTAAACATATTTTAAATGACATCTTAATCTAGTTTAACACACTAAATAATATAAATAAATAAATCTCACCAGGTGAAAGTAAGTCCTGTGCTACCAGGCCCAGCAGTCTTTATAATCCTTACAATAGCTGAACGGGTAGCTGTCGGATTTGTTTGTATGATTGTTGAAAATACAGTCGAAAAGATTGTGATTGATGCGAAGAAGCTAATAGTAGGAAAAAGTAAATTAAAAAAAATCTATTTTGATGAATTGGGGTCTGTGGATATAATAAAAAAATGTCGTAAACATCTGGGGTTACATAAGATTTAGCTTAGAAACTACCTTTTAATGACATACATCAAAATAGAGTTTATATTATTTAATTATCTCAGAGTAAGTAGTATTATAATAAAAAGAAGCTACACTTTGATTACTTTCAGGACTAGCAAATTATAAACAGTTTTTGATAATCACTACTATAATACATCATTCATTATTTATTTCGTTTCTTACTAAATATTCTATCATTACAAATCTTGACAAATAACAAATTCAAACAAACCAACTTTTAGTAATCCGTTTACCTAACGACATTGTTGACAATAGGAATAAGGAAGCTATACGAAACTATCCTTGAGTCCCGTGACATAAAAGTAGAGTAAGTTGCCAGAACAGCCATACCAGCGTTGGTATCGAATGCATTTTGACCGGCCGCTGCGATCCACATACTGGGGTCTAAAAAGCTTTCTGAAATGAGAAAAATATATCATACTTAGTTTTATAATATGATATTACCTTCGTACGTCTGACAGTTATATGTGTTCTCGGCATTTTAGTGAAACATACCATTCTCGTCCCTAGTGTTATCAGTGAAAATTGTGGATCAGGGTAAATGATGTAAGTCACCCGGTTCACCCCAAAACCTTAACAAATCACTTGCAAACTAAAAGTTATTTATTTGTATTCTACTAAAAGATTATTTTCTACTTGATTTCACCTGGTCAATGAATAGAATAAAGATTTGTTTGTTCATGCACATGTGCATTTCATTTTCAGTCATCGAATAAATGAAGTTGGTGTTCGAAATATGTTTCAAAGTGAATGCTAGTAACGAGCAGCTAGAAGTACGTAATATTTTATCAGTGTGTACACTTCGAAATATTATTAACATCTGTTGCATTATGCGACTAAAAATATTGGCTAGATGTCATTGGATTTTATAGTCTGAAACTAAGCCTATTATTAAAATATATGTTTATATAATAGTTGGATTCATGAGTCAGTTGAAACCAGACCAATATGGAAGGCTTGGAAGCACTGGGCTGCCGTTTCGTCCTAGCATGAAACTCCTCAGAAGTGGGCATCCATGATCCCGCTCGCGGGATTCGAACCCAAGACCTAGCGGTTCTATAGGACGGTGGTGGATTGGTTGAAGTTAGACATTAGCATCGTTGGTTGCCGGCTGGCTCAGTGGTCCACAGTTTAAGCGTTCGCGCGAGTAACCGAGGGTCCAGGGTTTGAATCTCGCGAGCGGGATCGTGGATACGCACTGCTGAGAAGTCACATACTAAGACGAAACGACCAATCAGTGCTTCCGGATTTTTCATTGTGGTCTAGCCTTAATTGACTCATGAATTCGACCTCTAATCTCCACAAAACCCCTTTCTGATAACATATGTTCATAATTATTTGGCTGTGTGATGAGATTAACACACATAGGAGTTTTACTGATTCACTCTTAAACTTCACGACCACCAAAAATATAATAAGTGTGATTGATAATAGTTATAAAAATAATGCTTATTATAATAGTTTGGATGAATTACTGACTTAAACGGATAATATTCCTAAACTTTATCGTTATTTTCTTACATTTTAGGATATTGTAAAAGAAAGTTTAAATCCCATATCGAGTAAAATTACTCACCCCATGATGGTGTGAAAAGAAATACAATGCCAACTTCAGCATATTGTCTTGTTAATGACCAACCAAATGTAAAAATCACAATTGACAAAAGCAATGGAACTAGAACCATATTGACTCTTTCAATCCATTTGATTCCACCTAATAAACAAATACCACTGAGTGTAACCGCTAGAATTTGAGTGAATACTGGCCAGTATGAATGCTAAATCGTACGAAATAATACAATTCATATTAAACAAATAAATATTTATTTGAACAAATTGAAATATTACTAGACATATGTAATTAAAGTGGTTAGTTTTGATAATGTTTAAGTCTTTTAGCTAGCTAGATAGTTGAGGTTTTCTAGACAACAAGATCAATCTAGTTTTCTGCTTTTTGTAAAGATTAATGAATGGCATAAGAAATATCTGTAAAACTATTGTAGACTTTGTAAGTAAACATTAGTAATTCAATGAGTTCTCTTTAATTTAGTAGTTAATAACATATTTAATATTTAGTAATCATAATGTTGACACAGTTCGTAAGAGTTAACTTCTAAAACTTGAATATAATCAACTGTAAACGTTTATTTCAAAATTTGATTTCATAGCAATAGTGGAGTATATATTCCTCTTCTTTGCTTCCCACTTTTAAACACTGTACACGTTTGTTCTATAGAATATATTGCTTTTGTGATTGGTATATAAAGGGAATACAATTCTTGACATCTGTGTATGATCAGACCAAAATCCATTTGGAAAGTAAGTGTATCAGATATTTTTAAGGTGTAATGTATCTGTAAAATGAACATCTTTAAACGATTTTAAACTCTTACATTCTTATTGAATAGATTTACATTAGGTATACGTCCAATGATTAGGATGGTATTTTATTGATTAGATTTCATGGTACATTGTAGTAGTATTTTAGCAGTTAGAAAATTTAAGTTTCATCTATTTGGTAATAACTTCAAAACTCCATATTACTATCTCACCTAGGATAGCCATGTGGTCAAACCTGTCTACATATAGTAGTGTTATATCAATCCGACTACAAAAAGTTGTACTTGGTAAATGAATTAAACTGATTCATTGTAAATTTTTTATTACATATAAAGTGTAATTTACAATTCATTAAAATCATCAAAGTTTCATTCATGTTTTCTTGTCTGTTAAGTGGCTACATAATTGTGTTATTACTGTTATTAAAATATGTACCTGTGTGTAGTTGGTGAAAATTTCTAAACCAGCCTGTTCAGTAGTTGGTAGTGACGGAAGAGTACACGATAAGTAAAGGTAGTATAAACACCATCCAAGTATAACTGGATAATAACCACTAAATAGGAAAAAAATATATAATAAAATGTCATCATATTGATAAATACTATATGGCTCAGTAGTGTTCAGTTAATTCGAATCCAACTGAACTGTAAACAATGAGAACAGTATATATTGAAATATTATAAATAATAATGTGTCAAATCATATATCGCATATATGTAAAGATGTTGAAGTCAGTATTTCAAAGAGTAAAATGATTCCTCATGATATTCGATTTATAGATTGTAAGGAATCATAACAGCTGTAGTCTCAAGGTTTCTCACACATAACATGGAACTACACTATGATAATGTTCATTCGGACAGGCAAACAAATTAACTGTTAATATTTCGGTTTAAAAAAAAATAATGACAACAAATGATCTTAAGACAGTTGTCATGTTTCATACTAAGACTTCTCAATGGTTAGTAACCTTGACTCATCACATAGTCTAAATAAAGCCCCCGAACGCCCTGGTACAGCCGAGATTGGGGAGAGTCCGCTCTCCCTCTCGAAATGCTCTCACATGGCCACGCGTATATAGACTCTACCAGGAAAGTCCTACTCACTGTTTTCTCGTGTAGGGTTGTTGTTTACGACCTTTAAATCGCAAGATGTCTTACATCATTTAAATCGGCTGCTTGTTGATATTTGCCTGCAAATTCTGATTTTCATTTGAAAGAAACAAATGAGTTTTGAAGATATGAATCAATATGATTCAGCCTCCAAATGATAGACTATCACTTGACCTTTTAAGGCTACGGTAACTACTTAGTTTATATGACGTCACTGATAAACTTCATTACCGCGTCCCAATACATTAGAAGCTCTAGTTGAGGCCAGACATCTTATTAATGATAATCAACTTTCCAACATCACAAATGTACATAGTTATAAACTAAATTCTACTAAAACCTTCGTAACAGCCTCTATGCAAATAATTAGAGTAACCATAAACAATTTCTATTTCCTTGATAATGAACAGAAAATCAAAATAATTATCATAATGAATAACCATAAATCTTTCAAAACGTTCATGATAGAAAAAAACTTTGTTAAAAACAATAATCTAACCTTACAAAGAAAACTACTGCAACCATCCATCCTCCTAACCAGAAAAATTTTTGCCCAAAAATTTGCAGAATGCTAATGTAACAGAGTTTCTAGTAAATCTACCAATTGAATATTCGACTATTATAATTGGTATGGACCATAAAAATAGGATAATAAGCCATACTATATAAAATGTTAATGCACCTAAAAAATATTGTAATGAAAAAGAAAAGTCCTTCATATACAATCATTCTATTGTACATAAAAATTATGGATTTATTAACTTTCTTATTAATATCATATAAAGAATTAGATGCAATTCAACTTACAAGTAATATTTATTGCTTTAGTAACTAAAGTAATTAAGAATCAAGCTTTTTACATTGCAGTTCTTAATACATCACATAAAAATGTATTGCAAATGTTTTAATTACTTACAGTAATCAAGAATAGTTGTTTCAACTCCATTTATAAAGATTTGGTTTGAGTTGTAAATGTCTATCTAACTCTTAAATAATCAGAAAGGGGTTTGGTGGATATTATAGTAATTTAATATTTGAATTCATGAGTCAATTGAAGTTAGGCCACCATAGAAAACCTGGAAGCACTGGATGGCCGTTTCGTCCCAGGATGGGACTCCTCAGCAGTGCACATCCCGATTCGAACCTCTGACCTATAGGTCTTGAAAGTGAACGATTAACATTTAGACCACTGAACCGGCCGGCATTCAACGGTGTTAATGTCTAACTTCAACCAATCCACGAAATCGAGCCACCGTCCAGTCAGTTGCTATTTCAGGTTTTCCATGGTGATCTAGATTCAATTGACTTATGAATTCAACTCTTAAATAATCAATGAAAAAGTGATATAGTTTAATGGAGTATGCTTATTTTAATCTGAGAAATCCTTTATACGGAAAAATTTTTTCAAAGCAATTGACTAAAAATAAATCAACCATCAATCTTGTATATCTCAGAAAAATAACTTGAATATTTACTCACGAAATGAATGATTAATTGAAATAAACTACTCTTTTGTAAAATCTGTTAATAATTACCAGGAGTTATAATTATTTTTAATCTTTTTATTAAAGAAATATTCATACATTTATCAACTAAGAAGATGACCTTTATTTTGTAAACATTTTATTTATCCTAAATTGTACTTCTTGACATCATTACATCCAAGAAGTGAATATCGATTTGACGTCTGAAAGTTTTCGATTGATGAATATCCATGATTATGACAACTCAATCTACTTTATAAAGTAATAAATTGATTGATATAAATCAATTGACCATTTTCTCCACTTAATGTATTCTCAATTCGCAAATGAATATGCTTACGATAGTGGAAATATTTGTCAGGTTATTAAAAGAATGAATATTATTCAGAAAAAAAAATGGTTTTATACAAAGTATTAAGTTAAAACCATATAAATTTCTTTTTGTTTTCTAGGCAATTAACCATTAAGAATGTAAGCAAACATTTTAAACAAACTACTTGTTATCCATTTCTTATTATTGTAACGCTTATGAATGTAGAAGTTAAAATATCGATGAATGTATAAGAAAATTTTGCAAACAATCAGTGTATTGTTGATGTTTTACTACTGTATTCCTGTTATGATTTATCTTTAGATTTCACATTATCCTACTTTGAATTCCAAAAGTTTATCTTGAAACTAACTACTAGTAAAAAGATTATTATATCCATTTTAAAATATATAGTAATCTAGTCCTTACATATAATCACATCTATTTGACAAAGTTGATCTGTACCCTGTTGATCTTAATGCTTCTCATATTGACTTATGGATTGCATAAAATTGATTAGTTAAAATAAACTATTTTTCTTATTTATATTGATATTTGCATGTAATTAGTACATTGAAACAAGAATCTGAAAAGATTAAAAATGTTACTAATCAAGTTAACACATCAATAATAAAGCACGTGGTTTAAGAATTACACAAAAGTTACATTCACTTGAAGAATTTAGACGATTACGAGATGCTCGTCGAGCTTAGGTCGATTTGTAAATTTGATTTTACTGAAAACATTCTAATAAATTCATACAGTCATTAGCTGCCTTTCAAATCTTAAAGCATATATTTATTTACGTTATACAATGATTCATTACATGATTCAATTCATGACAGAATAAAACAAACAAAAATGTTCAGGTTACAAAAAACCTTGCTATCTGATGAATTAGGGTAGATTTCAAGAATTTTTAAGCTTTTATTGAATAATAACGAATGCACAACATCTTTACGGTCCGATTCACTTCAGTTTAACCAAAGGTTTATCGAGAAAATTATTTACACAATATATTTGTCATCAAAGTACCAAAGGCGGGCTATATACCTTATTTTTTAATATTTTACTTTGGTAAGGTCAATAAGAAATCTTCGTCTATGAACTCCAACTGTATAATATTTACTTCATTGCATTACAAAATATTGAACTAGTTGAATTAAACATATTGTACAAATGTTACAAAGGATTATATGTTTTTAATAATACTAAATAGTTATATAACTTGAGTAATCCGATATTGGTGTCATTTATTTAAATCAATATAACATAGAGTATAAAACTTTCATACAGTATACATACCGGTAGAATAACTATGTGATGCCAAAATACGAGGAAATCTCCAAATATTTCCTGTTCCTACTGCACTACCAAGACAGGAAATAATTCCACCTAATGCAGACTGAAACATAGACTTCTCCGCAGTAACTCGTAGTTTGACATGAGCCACATTTGTTTCAGAGGACACTTTTTGTTCAAACTATAATGATTAATAAATTATGTAAGATAAATAAACTTTATTGTTTTACATATGATCAAATGTTTAAATCAATATTTTTGTGATGACAATCTAATTAAAAATATTGTAAATGAAACATACATATTAACTAGATTTTTGCTTTTTTCTGAGTCAAAACTGTAGAATGCATAGAATAGTTAGTTATACAACATTTCATGAATATATGGTACATATTAAATGAAAATTCCACGTTTGTTAAGCATATGAAATTCTGTTTGACTATAAAAGAAATTTTAGATAATTTCTTTAAAAATTGTGTCACAGACACTGCAAATACACAGATTAAAATAATTTTTAGAGAAGAAACAATCACATCTAGTTACGATAAAGCAATCAATTCAGCTTCTTTATAAGCAAAGATGGACAATAGCTTGCAGTGGAATCTAAGATGCGTTTTTCGTCCTATATGGGAATCGTCAGCTGGAGGCATCTGACTCTCAGAGTTGATGTTCACTCTAGGACTCACGTTATCTATTTTACTACTGAGTCCTGATAGGCACTTGTTTGTGCAACGGGGCGAAGTATAAATTCACTTGATATTGTTTACTTGGATCTTTCCATTGACGTTTAGGATTGTAATTGATCAATCTCTGGTGCTGGGTTTGAGTTCAAGAGTGAACACCAACTCTGAGATTCAGCTGAAAAGTCCCAAATAAGATTAAACGTGCGTCCTGGAATGCACTGCTAGCCACTATCTATCATTGCTTATAATGCCTGTGAATCAAGCCAACATCGAGGCAATACTCAAAATATACACATATGCCAATAAGAAACTGATCAATTGCAATCTTAAACATCAATGGGAATATTCAAGTACACAACACCAAGTGAATTCCAGCTTTTTTGTTAAGTGTGTTTTATTCGTTTTGAAGAAATTTTGTATTCACCTTTCGCATTTTGTTCGCACACAATCATTAATTTGTTCAGATATTAGAAAAAAAATTTTTGTTGTTGGTCAAATTAAATTATTTTACACATTTAAGAATATTAGTAAATGTAAATCTCCAGTTAAATTCATGAGTCAATTGAAGCTAGACCACCATGGAATACCTGGAAGCACCAAACATCCGTTTGGTCCTAGTATGGAACTCCTCAGCATTGCGCAACCACTCATGAATTTAATTGTAAAATTACTAAAATCTTCATCAAACTCCCTCTGACCAAATGTAAATTTATTTAAAATATAAAATATTTACAGAAAATAATTTACAATAGTTTATGTTTATATCTTACCTCATAACTATTTTCACTAATGCTTTCATTGTCTACATTTTGATTAAGTACATTTAACCGGTCTGTGATTGTTAACGGTTTTTCCATTGAGAAATGAATGAAATTTACAATTAAAATGTAGTTGACTTTTATAAAATATGTTAACCAATTATTTATTTACTAAATATTTTATTGGTTTATTAAAAATTTTGTGAATTTTTTCTCAAAATAAATACTTGTGAAACTACCGATTGTTTAAGTTACACATAAGAATCACATTTACTGAACTTAATCATAGTAATAAGAAGTTTATGCCTGTTACTCCTAGTAGAGGAGCATAGGCCGCCAACCAGCACTCACCATCCAACCCTCTCCTAACCAGTTCTTTACAGCTCTTTCCAGTTGTCATTCATCCTTTTCATATCCGCTTGACGTAATGTGTTCTTTCGTCTTCTTTTTCACTTCCCTTCAGAATTCCTAGTTGGGGCTTGCCTCGTGATGCAGTTTGGTGATTTCCGTAATGTATGTCCTATCCACTTCCAACGTTTTTCCTAATTTCATCTTCAGCTGGAAGCCGGTTTGTCCTCTCTAACAGAATGCTGTTGCTGATGGCATCCGGTCAATGGATGTTGAGTATCTTGCGTAGACAGCTATATATAAATACTTGCACCTTCTTGATGATGGTTGTTGTAGTCCTCCAAGTTTCAGCTCCGTACAGTAGAACTATCTTGACGTTCGTATTGAAGATTGTGACTTTGATATTGGTTGATGGTTGTTCTGAGTTCCATATGTTTTTCGAATATAGGAATGCTGTCCTTGTTTTGCCAATCCTCGCCTTTACGTCTGCATCCTATCCTTCGTGTTCATCGTTGATGCTGTCCAAGTAGGCGAAGGATTCCAGATCTTCTGGAGTTTCGCCACCGAGCGTAATTGGGTTGGCGTTCTCCGTGCAGTATTTGAGGATCTTGCTTTTTCGCTGTGTATGTTGAAGCTTACTGATGCAGAGGCTGGTGCTACACTAGTTGTCTTCATCCGCATTTGTTCGTGTGTATTGGATAGAAGGGCTATGTCGTCTGTAAAGTCCAAATCGTCTAATTGATTTTGACCTATCCATTGTATTCTATGCTTTTCCTCAGATATCAAGGTCTTCATAATGCAGTCGACCACCAGAAGAAAGAGGAAGGCAGAGAGTAAATAGCTATCTAACAACCACAGCAACAATTTTTATAGGTACATGGTACTTAATTATAATGTAAATAATTTTGTTGCATCATCTTTATGCCTTAATCTCAGTCAGTCACTCGGTTACGCTGAAAGTGGAAGTTTTCATAAGTGTGTATTAATCTTAATTTGCACAACATTTATCTACATAATCAAAGGATATTAGTAAGATGAAAATTAGAGGAGTGGAGATAAAAAAACAACTGGTAACGGAAAATGTAACATAATAGAAATAGTTCTAAAGTGACATAGTTGATTGCAGAATGAAACAATCTGTAATTAAAATGAAGGTTAGAGGTTAAGCCGAATTAAAAGTATTTAATTCGAGAAATTTTATTCAAATTTTATCGAGTTAAGCTTTTGTTAAATGGAGAATATCCTTTTCATTTACCATGGTCATAAAAGAAAATTAGAAGCAGGAAATTAACATAATGAACTGATATTATGTTGAATTAATCATTTGTAAAGTATTCTTACGTTAGTATCTTGAACTGTTGTTCGCTGTTCTATCTAATTCACATCTAGTATACACGTAGAATCTTTCCTTTCAGTTGTGATTTATTTTAATGGTCAAAATGGTGGAAAACGTTTAACAGCTAATTTTATTTTTAAAATTTGAAATCAAGAAAGTTACTTCTATCATGTCTCGTAACTCTGATATATATATATCTTGAAACTGCTCGTAACTTTCAGCTAATAATGAATTTACTTTAGAAGTTGGTTTTACCTTGAAAACCGTGGAAATCACCGCTTAAATAATTAGCATTTGGTATTATTCTGTGGAAACAACTAAATTTTGTCTGAGGAATCTCAAAACATGTCCGCTCTAATAATTATGTTCTCTTTGTTGACTACTTTTAAGACGGATTTGAGGAGATCTAATGTGTAGCCGTGACGAGTAACATGCGGATCATATCAGAACTGCAAAGTTTGGGATCCGTGGAATTTATTTATAGTTCTTTCGGAGTATGTACCGTGAGACCTAAAGGCTCAGGGTTCTATGCCCGATAATGTCATTTATTTTATGTTTATTTATTCAAACACATAAATATTGTTACAAGGAGGCACCAAATGGATATGCCCCACATAGATCATTCAATTTGTGTGGGGGATGAGATACTGCCTGGGTGCTCAAACCGAAGCAGGTGGTTTTCTTAGGGGGCCACACCCGGAGCCTTCGACCTGAAGGTCTAGTACACAAGGTAGTGGAGCAACATTAGGAGATGTAGTCACACAGTAGCCAGTGACCAAAGACTGGTTCATACACCATTTGCTCCTTTAGGATCCATTGGTTTGGAATCAGGGTTTTTCAACTCCCCTAGGTGGACTCTCCATGTTCACCAACCCGGGTAGAGCGTCGGACATTCGCTTTTGCTCCTCTCAATTTAGTAAACAATAACCCTCCACGAGAAGGCAGTGAGTAGGACTTCTCTGGCAGTGATTGTATGCACGTGGCCATGTGAGAGCATTTGGAAAGAGGGAGAGCTGACTCTCCCCACTCTCGGCCATAACAGAGCATTTGAGGGCGAAAATCATGTCATGTGTATATAACTTTAGAGTTGTGAACTAGGCTGAGATAGATGTTCATTATTCTGTGATTCTTAAAGGTTCTTCAGTTGATGTTAGTCTGGGTGGTAAACAGACAGTAAACCATAAAAAATATTTTGGCTGAAACAAGTTTATAATGTAATAATTTATGAAGAAGGTTTATGAGAAAAATCAGACGAACTGCTAAACCAACTAGCTATCATCAAAATGGTTGAAATTTGTGCTAGTCGATAACGATAAAACAGTATTTTTGATTTGCATCATTTGCCAAATCTACTTAATAAAAATAGATAAATGAGGTCCATTTTATAGTATTAAATGTTTAAATGATTTACCGAAGTGGGGTTGCTTTAAAAACTCAATAAATATTACTTAGTGAATAGATAACAACCAAAAAAAACTTTGTGGATGAAAGCATTTATCGATTTTTATATGCATTATTGTTTCAATACTGTCATATACTTATGAAATTCCATTTAGTGAAGTGTTATGAAATTGTTTAGATAATTTAGGTTTTTTTTAAATACATTTAGGGTTTCTACTATGTTTTCAAAGAAATTCTAAGAAATGATCACTCCTTTTCTCATTTTACATATACGCAGTTGAAATTTGTCCTATATAACGTTATCCGTATTGTTTCGAGAAGGCATTCAAAGCTTATTAAAATTTGTCAGAAATTGATGAATAAGAATTCTTCTAACATATGATAGTCAATGTCACAATTTCCGTTAAAGTCGTATTAGTAAAATACATTATTTTTCCTGGAAAATAATTTTTCTTATAATTATTATGTTCCAGCAATAAATAATGTTTTATGAAACTTTTACAGCAGCAGATTACTGGTTAGGCCTAAAGAAATGATATATATAGTTGAATTTATAAATCGATCCAAGCTAAACCACCAGTGAAAACTGGAAAGAACTGGAAGGTCGTTTCGTCCTAGTATGAAACGCTTTAGTAGTGTACATTCACATACTGCATGTGAGACGCGAAACCGAAACCTTCGACCTCACACGCGACTGTTTAATCTCCAAACCACTGGACCGGCATCTAACGATGTTAATGTCTAACTTCGATCGATCCATGATCTCGCGTAACACTTCATCCATTATCTGAGTCAGTCAGTATGAGTATGACTAGACTCCACTTGGTCACGCCTATTTACTAGAACTTAAGGAAATCCATACTGAATCTGGTCACTAGTGAGCACATGATTATTATCAGAATGAGAGTTTGAGGAAGAGTCCAATGCTAGTATGAAACGACCGTTCAATGCTTGTAAGTTTCCACTGGTGTTCTAGGTTAATATGGACTCATGAACTCAACTGTTAAAATTATTACAATCTCCACCCCCTCCACACTTATATATATATATATATATATATATATATATATATATATATAGATATCTGACCTAAAGCTATGATTTTGAAAACTATATAATCTTGAATCACAGTGTGAACTCTAATTAAAATGACTTGACGTTAAACAAGTGCAACTAAAGAAAAGAATGTTGTTGTAACTGAAAGAACTAATCTCTACTTGTGAGGATAAGCAAAACAAGAGAAACATTCAGCAATTAAATTGATTGATAATATTGTCAAGAAATCAAATGATGTAATACAATGGATTTAATAATAAGGCGATTAACAGAATCAATGTAAAAGCGCAAATTAACGGAAATGTGATCGTACACATAAAATGCCATTGTTATCTATACATTATTTTGACAACATAAAGTTGATATGTAAATTGATGTTTACAGCTGATCTTTTGTCTAATGAAATTTACGAAAAACGGTTACATTATTCAAAAAAATTCAATATTGATTGGGTCTTACCAATCATGATTAACAATATGACGATTGTCACAAATGAATAGAAATTACTTCAAAGTACTAGTATTTTAAGATGACTAGTAGGATGAGACGGTAGTATAATTTGAAATTATAGTTACATTTAATCAAAAAAGTTAATGAGAATTTTTAAAGCCTATGACTGTTTCTTATACATAGTGGTACATCTCTAATTGACAAACCTAGAAGATTTATGACTAAAATATTCATGCTGCAAACTAACTAATGAGGACAAATGAACTGATTGTAAAAATCACTACCAGAATCCCAACCTTTTGGGACCCAATTTTTTTAAGAGTTTGATTAAATCGATGTTAAATAACTCTGTATGTTGTTATCAGAGTGATATTTGACAAGACAAATATTAATATTAAATCATCATAAACCTTCATTTATTTAGTGACTTAGCAAATAAAAGGTAATTTTTATAATAATTCAAGTAAAACTCTCGTAAAGTCACAGAATAAAGTCTAGTGTTTATAGC